GGAGTAAAAAATGTGACCAACTGTGGTGTTTTTCTTACACCTTGATTCTTGTGTTCCAGCAGGAACAGGCTGCTGCTTGGTCCTGGTGCATTGAAGGTGGCAAAGCCCACTTCTTCAAGACTTCCCAGCCTATGCTGAACAGTAAACTAAAAACAAGCAAGCTCAGGTTTAAGAGCTATCTGTGTGATCTAAAGCTATTTTTGTAGTCATCTAATCCTTCCTATAGGATTAACACCTACACTTTGAAAGCGAGGTGAGGAGAAAAAGGGCAGAGGATCTCCAGGTATCTTGGCAGTGTTAGGTCCAGAGCAGTGATATCCAGACCAGTGCTTATTGCTTTTAACTCACACTTTGTGTAGTAGACTTTTGTTAAACATTAAATATGCATTTCATTTTATGCCAGGAAAGAGAACTGGATATAATATGAAATTTGTCTTCAGATGCTGTTAGCGTTGTTCAGTTACAAGCAGTTTTCAAGACTACTTTGAAATACAAATTTTTTGCCAGAGTTGTTTAAGAACCCTGTTGCTCAGTGTCATCTTTGAGGTTATTTTTAGACTGTTTGCTTATCATGAACACTTCTTGTTTTTTCTTCCTTTAAGAGTTGTAGATACATATATAATTTTTAACAGTTTTAAATAACTGAGAAAATTCATACTGTTAAGAACATGGAATTGTTGTTTTTAGTATTGACTGTGACTCTACATAACTTCGGACACACTTAGGAAAATACTGGGTGAAGTTTTCATTATTATTTCAAGACAGTTGTTATACTGAAGTACAAAATACTTTGGAAATCACAGTAACCTGAAGTATTTAGTTTTACCAAATTGCCCCACTTTGGTTCTGAGCACTCAAAACGTGACAGGAGCAGGGCCTTAAGGAAGGAAGGAGGAAGCGAATAGAAGGTGCTTCCTCATGAAGCTGTCTCTTGCTCTGACCAGAAGACTGATGAGACCACATTTTTAGATGTTCCAGGTAAACTGGTTATTGTATTTATGTTTTGGTAGAGAATTTTGTTATTGCTTTAACCTGATTTTACTGGTCAATAGCGTAAAAACAAACAAAAAAGCTTTCAATGAAATTTGGTTAGACAGATGAAAACAATTCATCAATGCTTGGTCCTAAGTTGACACATTGGTTTGGTAGATGGTTAGTGAATTGACTGCTGACTGCTAAATTAATTGCTGGGAGGGTGAGAAAAACATGCCTCAAGCCCCTTCTTTTAAAGTTTTGGATTGTGGGACTGTGTGCTTGCATTTTCTAAACAAAAAAAAAAAAAGAATCTGTATTTCAGTCTCTGCCAAAGAATGGCCTAAACCTGTGTGTAGAGGGACTTTTTTGATGATTGGAAGTCTCTGGAATGTTAAATTGTTAAATCTATTGAAATTTTAACCACTGAAAGATCATAAGCAACTTACTGTTTGGGATTTTTGTGCAATTAGAGGGAAGTTGAATTGAATAAGGCTGAAATAATGAGCAGACAGCAAATGCTGAATACATGATGCTTAAGGTAGGCTACTTTGGGTGTCTTCATAGCTTGCAGCTAAATGTGATGATGTACATTATTTATGATTTAGAAGTTAGTGGCCTGACATTCCCTGAAAATGTAAAGTGACTTTTAAAATGTAATTTCATGGAACTGAATGAAAGGCCAGTTCAAAATACATTAAGCAATAAGGATGTGTAGCTTGAAATCAGTGAGCTTCTTTTCACTGCAATAAATTAGAGTGTTACTTTAGTGTAGCTAAATACCACCTCAAGAGAGTAATGGCAATTCCTTGCTGTCAGTATGGCTGGGATTCACCTCTATCAGGTACCTGGACTACTTATTATCAAGAGTGAAAGAGTGCAATGTTTTGCTTAGGAAAAGTTCACTGCCAATGTGCATAGATAGGTATTCTGGTAGGAGGCATTGCCCTTTGAAGTTGCAGTCTGTCTTTGCTGTCTGACAGTCTCAAGTTATGCCAGGGTAAGATTAGATTGGATATTAGGAAGAATTTCTTCATGGAAAGATGGTCAGTCATTGGGACACTCTGCCCAGGGAAGTGATGGAGTCTCCATCCCTGGAAGCATTTAAAAGATGTGTAGATGTGCCACCAAAGGAAATGGCTTAGTGATGGGTCTCAGTAGGTTGATAGTTGGACTTGCTGATCTTGAAGGTCTTTCCCAACCGAAACGATTCTGTGATTCTACGGGAATCTGGCTGTCAACAAAAATAGGAACAGGGGACTGCCATTCTGCAGATGCTTCTCTGCTTCAGGTTGTTGCATGACAACTTCTCCCACATATATGCCATCAACATACTATATTTTTCTGCTGCTTTTCTCTCACTGCCTTTCAGCTGTGGGAAATCACAGCTGATGGTCTGGAGGTCTGGTCTTGCCACAAGCCTTAATTATGGCAGCCTCCATTTCAACATACCATTGTGTGCTTTGTCTTCCTCTTTGTCATCTCTTTCAGGTCAGCTCTTTTTCTCCTTGGTGTGAACTCCCACTTGATGAGGCTCAAGAGATCAGGAGGTGGGTCTCCTGGCTCCTCTTCTCCTGCCCCTAGCATCTGGCCACATCAACAACATTTTCAGCCCTTCCTTGTCTCAGTATTTGAGGCTTTCATGATGGTCATGAAAGGAATGGTCTATCAGGAAATGGCTTGTGTGGCAAGGATAAGCACTCCTATGACATAGCTTTTCTCTGCTCCACACCCTTACATGGATGCAGAGTTACTGAGAGCTCATAAGACCTCATGAGTCAGGCCAGCAGCCCACACCAGCATGGAGCAGGGAAAATGGCCAAGCTGTGGCTTGTGAGATGTGGGTGCAGTCACAGAGCCAAGAAGCTTTGCCTCGTGAGTGAGACAGACGTGACAGCAAACTCATGTCTGGCAGCTGGAAAATGCCTTCCATGTTCTGGAGAAAACTTGTGTTGTCCCATAGGCCTTGTAAGCACATTGAAGTCAGACACTACTGCGGGCTGCAGATGCTGTCACTGGTGCGGCACATTCATTCCTGAATGCTTCCTCTGTCAGTCAGTGTTTGCTGCAACCCCAGTGACTGCTTTTTCTGTTCCCTACCCAGCAGGCTGAGATTTTAATTTATTGTGTTTAAATTTTTTAGTAAGGATGTCATGGAACAGCACTGAATCAACATCTCTGTAAGACCAGAGAGTTCCTGGATGTTTGGATGTTCCTTTTCCTTCTGGTCCTGCAAGGCTGGGAGTGTCATCAGGCTCTAAGTCTCAGCAGATTTTATATGTGCAGTGTTTCCCCTTGAATAAACTGTCAGATTTTATTTTGACTTAGACTGATCAAAGCTAACATGAGTTTAAAATAATTGTTGTATTTCCACATACTTGAGTAAGAAACATTTCATGTTACTGAGGCATACTTCAGAGAAAATGCCAAGCGATGTAAATACTACAAGACTGCTGTTTTGTTGTCTAAATGCATAGAAGGGAAAAAAAAAAAAAAGAAAAAAAAAAGAGAAAGAGAAACTGTATGAAAACACCCAGTAGGTTTTAATCTGCTGCTTTTACTCATGATCTGAGATCAGACAGGCTTGCTCTCCTCCACTGACCTTGTGTGGTGGGGTAGCACAGGTGCCAACATACCAGTTAATGAAGCACTGTAAGGGGACATTGCTTCCTGGTTGGATAGGTCTGTCAGAGGCAGAAACCTGCTCTGCAAGTTCCTTCAGAGGTGGGCTTGGCTTTTCCCTTGCAATTTCACTCTCAAAGTTGGCCAACCACGATGGATTGTGTCACCTTGTCCTCCTGCATCACCTGGGTGGCAGTGCCACCTTGGCGGCATGTTCCTGCCTCAGAAAATGGACGTCCTTAATTTGCAAGCTTTGTTACTGAGTATTGAGTTTTCACAATTCACAATATCTAGTATGCTAGATAAATTTCCTTTGGAAAGGTATTTTGTACTTAGAGTTGTGGCTGGAAACCAGGAATTAGTGGTAGAAAATCACCTGGTGGAATTAGGTGGAAAATTGTGAGGACTTGATTCTTTTGGTATGGTGAAACAGAGACCAAACCCCATCATGACAAATTTTGGATTGTAACAGCAATAAGCCTGTTGGAAATGCAGCAACCTAGGCTTATGATTGTCCTTTCTGATTCAGCTAACAGGCTTGGCTACCCTTATGGTTTTGTTTTGTTTGCTCTTTTACTGCTGTTTCATTTTGATCTCATAATTGTTTACTGGGCAGAAAGGAAAAGGGTGAGTCTGTAAGCTGAGCACAAGGGTGCTTGGCTGGGGTGTGATCAGGACCACGGGTCTCTCATAATGGAGGAGCTTGTGCTATTTAGTGGTGGGCTACTGTTTATTCTCAAGTGACTCGAGATCTCTTTTTCAGGAACCTTTGATTTAGAATACACATATTTCTGTAGAGAACAAAATATTTGATTTCAGTGATTGGCCTTTATATACTGAGAAAGTGTTTTGTTTTTTTTTATTGCCATGGAACTGCTGGTGAGCTGTAATTTGCGGTATTGGCTGCAGGTGTGGATTTAACTGATGTGCTGATGAGAAGAATCCTTACAATCAGCAAGATTGTGTCTCTGGGAGCTAATATTGGGCTGAACATCTGGTCTTTGTAGTGGAAAGATGTTTACAGTGTGAAAGGCAATGTTAGCTCTCAAATCCTCTGATACACTCATTAACTCTCGTGAGAGTAGCACAGAGGAGCCTTAACCAGCTTCAGTGTTTTATAGATCTTTTCTGTTTTATAATGTTTTCCTCTTAAAACCAAAAAAGCACTAGAGGTTGATTGAGAGCTGCCATCCAGAGATGAATAGATATTTTCCATGGCTTTAAAACCAGTGTAATTATTTTCAACTGCCCTGTGGGTATGGTTGGAACAACTGCTGATTTTGTTAGCTGCATTGACAGTGTTGTTTGCAGGATGGCTTCTTAGCACAGTAATTTTTCTGCCACTAATTAAAAGCATCTTTGTTGATTTGCAGCATTTTACCCTAGGCTTTGTTTTCTTCTTACAGCAAAGAGCTCCAGGGAAAGTTTTGCATGACGCCGTTTGCAACCACCTGAACCTTGTTGAAGGTGACTATTTTGGCCTTGAGTTTCCAGACCATAAAAAGATGATGGTATGTAAAAAGTTAATTTTCACCTGGTTTTCATCTACATATGCTCTTTATTCTTTCTTCCAGCTCCTTACTTATAAGCTATGTTTAATCCTGAATTTCAAAAAGGAAAAAAAATACTTTATTTAAAAAGCTCTTGCCTGCTGGATTTGAAGAAACGTTTTTAAAACCTGATTATTCCTGTCAAGTTTCATCTGTGTTGAAAGTAGCAGCCAATTCAAACATGAGTTGGAAAAGCATTTTATTTTTATCAGTTGCAATAGAGCAGCCAGCAGCAGGACTGCTGGAGAGTCTCAGCTCCGATTTTATAGTCACAAGTAATTTGGAGCGTGGAGTCTGCAGACAGAAGTTGCAGTGATTGTGATGGAGTTCAGTGAAAAACATCTTGGGACAAGAAGACGGTTAGATAAAATATAATGAGGTTAATAAAAAAGAAAAATAAGGCAAAAATACCCCATAAATAAGCTGTTGAAAGTCCTATATGTGGAGCCATGTGGCACAAGCAGGTGTGCGGGTCCTGACACTTTGGACTGTGAGAACAGCTGCTGGCAACAATCAGACATTGCACTAATGCTTCCAGGGTGGGAACAGTATCCTGTAGCAGAAAAAGCCAAAGGCGAGTGACTTCCCAATCTCATATGGCTTTCGTTCTGAGGTTTACTTCACTTTAGTTTTTTGATGTGACCTCCTGACATGTATGCTTGGTATCTGGGTTGTTTGACTGGTACTTTCTGGTGCATGCTGAATCTGCTGTCTGTTCAGTGAATTCTGCTTCAGTTACCTGGCTGATCTAAAGGAGGTGACTTTAGGCAATTTCAGAAAGATCTGTTTCTATCTATATACAATTTTTCTTTAAAGAGGAGTATTTCTTAACCAAAGGCCAGGGAGGATTTAGCTGCTGCTGCTGCAGTAACCTGTTGTCATGCCGTAGTGCAGGCTTATGTAGGCACTTAAGCTGAACAGTATAGGTCATAAAGCTTTATGCTTAACTATATTTAAGAGGAAATTTTGAAAAAAATGGATGTTGACCTTTAAAACTGATCCACTTTGTAGTTTGCTTCTGGATTTACATGAAGCACGGTTTACTACGATGTTTCATATTTTGCCAAATATCCTTGACTAATGCTTTAGGTAATTTGAGGGAACATAACTCTTCAAAACAGTGTGACTGCAGCTATTACAACAGAGGTCCCTGTAGCCATGTTAGTACATGACATACTGACATTCCTTATATATGTAGATAAAGCTGGGAGAAATGTACAGTTGCATTTTAGTTTTCTAAAAAATAGCGAAGGTCACCTGACCAACCTTATCTACTTCACAGGTCATTAAGTTTCAAATAGATGGCCCTCTGTGTTTTGCTCTGAGACCTGAAATAAACTAACAGTTTTCAGTCTTGTGAAAACAAAATGGTTTATTTGCTTGAGGCAGAACACGGGAGGGATTGAAGTGCTGCCAGTGCCTGAGGCTGTTGCGGTGGCAGGCTGGAAGTATATCCAGATGATCTCAGTGGGGGATCTACGGCTCTGACGAAGAGGAAGGTAGAAAAAAAACCCCAAGGCTGTTCCCGCTTTCACCTAAAGAAATGTGCCTCCATGCATCAAGGATGGTATCTCCTATAGCTCCTACTCCTGCAAAAGGAAGTATTAGCCAAGTATCTGAAAGTGCTGGTCACTGTATCCACCAGTTGTTTCACTATTTGCTTTTCAAAAAGGGGGAGATCCCCCAATCTAGCCTGTGTCTAGACAGGTGTGCCTCGGCTGTGAAATTCAGAGGAATTAATACCTTTAGGGTGGACTCCATGATATAAAAATGGTGCTAAGGTTCTTGAAAGCATTGAGAGGAAATCAGTGAAGATGGTAATGAAGCTGGGAGGCATGTTCTATGGGAACTAAGGACACCTGATTTGTCCATTCTGGAGAAAAAAAGGTGCAGAAGCAACTTCATTACTCTCTGCATCATCTTGAGGAGGGGAAGCGGAGGGAGTTGCTGATTGCTGTTCCCTGGTGACATGATCCTCTGCTAGGCTCCTGTTTGATGGTTGAACTAGATGATCTTAGGATCTTCTAGCCTTAATGATTCTATGATTCAGAGGATGCATGGGAATGGCACAAAGCTGTGCCACAGGATGTTCAGACCGGATGTTATGAAAAAATTTACCATGAGGGGGGTCAAACACTGGATCAAGGTTCTTACTGAAGTGGTTGATGCCTCATGCCTGTAAGTGTTCAAGAGAGACTTAGATAATGCCCTCATTAATATATTTTAACTTTCGATTAATCCTGGAATGGTCAGGTAGTTGGACTTGATCTTTGTTGTTCCCTTCCCACAGAGCTATTCTATTCTGTGTTCTATTATATTCTAAAAGCAACTTGCAGAAGCCGTTGCAGCAGCAGATTTGATTATGAATCATTGCTTTAGTGTGCAGCAGCTTTCTGGATGAGAGTGATACTTACATTTAAATTGTAATTCTCAGTTTCTATGATGCAGCTGAGACAAATGCTCCTATGGGATTTAAAACTTTTTGAGCTTCATAATGGCCGTAATGGAGAATTCAAGCATTGCGCAAATAAATAAATTGCGGTTAGTTCTGTATCTAAGAAATAAAACACACATACATATTTTACGTTCTCATCATCTGAAGATAATTAATTGCTTGTCCAGGGAAGAGGGCAATGGCAAAGGAAAAATAAATATTTGCAGTGTATTTGTTTGGATGTAATCATGTGTATGTGAAGTTACATTCACAGTTCAGCTGTGTTTGTTTCAGCGTGCCAGGCTCCAGACTTCATGTATTACATGTTGACAGTTGTATGTCATGATGCCCAGCAGCTGTACGTGTTCAAGTGTGCTGTATATGTAGAAGAGAAGACATGCACGAGAGATGAAAATGGAGGGTCTGAGGGCTGCACTTTCCCTCAGCGTGAGGAGAAATGAGGCATTGTTGCTAAGCCTGGGATTTTACAGTTTCATCATACTTGATGTCTGCTCCAATTCTCCAGCTGCTCCAGTCCAGTCACTGCTGCAGAATGCCAGACGTTGTTTCAAAAATAAATAATCTATCCTTTGTAGTTCTGAAGAAAAGGGAAAACAGAGATCCTAAGTCAATATTCATATTATTCTTCCTTTCCAGCTTATGAATCAATCTCAGATTGGCTGTGTAGAAATACAGAGTGAGAGCTGCATGGTGTGCAAGTTTTAATTGCCTGGGTTTGGTGACAGTGATGAAGTCTTTGTCTTGCCCATCTTTCTCGTCTCTCCCTACATACATTCAGTATACGCTGGCATTCAACAGTCTGGTAAAGGATGCTGTAGCTTGTAGAATGATTGGAAAAATGGAGAAAGGAATGACATACTTTCTGTGCTCATGCTGTAACACAAATTTCCTCTGGAAAGAAAGAGATTTTGTTTTGTATCAAGGAAAATATATGCCTCCCATATTCTTGTAAATAAGCTTTTTCATATTCTGGCTTTTTTTTCTCCACTAAATCTGGCAAGGTCCCTGACCCTTCGTAGTAGATTATGTACATGCCAACTTTCTGAAACAAAACAGTTGCAGTTACTGAAATGCCAAAAAGTGTCAGAACCAGTTTAACAGGCAATAAACCTTATTTTCCTATTCTTGTGTAACCAACTTTCCTTAGCCCTTCCAAAGAAAAGAACTTTCCCAGGCTGAAAAACATAAAAAGAATTCCATTGAGAAACATTAGTGAGTTTAAAAGGGCAAGAACGTGAGGACTTTGCTAATGGGAAGCCCTCATAAAGTAATTACAAAAATAGCAAACAACACTGGCACAGATACAGCAGCCAGACCTGTTTCTGTCTGGTTTCTCAGGTGATCTTTGAAAACTGATGTTTTTAGGATGTTTCAGTATCTACATAACCTAAAATTATTCAAGGCCAAAGGTGTATTCTTTTCAATATATATATTTTCCCCAAAGAAAGACTCAGTTAATTTGTTTTTTACTGCCTTTAACCTTTGTGAAGGCTGTAGGATGTTCCCCTACAAGTTCTAGAAGTCTCCGAGGAAGGCTCATGCAATTGAGATTGCAAAATAAAAATGTTGGGTGCAATTGTCAGCTGGAGATGGTGAGCTTTCGCACTTCCCTAGTTTCTGTGAGTCATTTGGCTTTTATGTTCTACAACCCAATGAAGGAGGATAGGTGATTTGTCCAAGACATTTTAATTGAGACTACAAAGTAGGCTTTTAGGTTTTAAAGGTGTCATTTCACTCCATTTCTTCTCCTTTGCAATCTAAAGGAAAGACTCAGGTAAGGTTATTAAAAAAAAAACTCAGTTAAGGAAAACCTCAGCCTGATCTCCCCACATTTGTAGAACAGAGAAAATGTCACACAGTCAGAAAGTAAGCTTGCTTTTAGTCATGCTTGAAGCTGTGTCTGCCTCATGGTCTTGATGTGAGAGAACATTCCTCCTTAAAATGGTGGTGGTGAAGGGTTAGGGACCTGTCTGGGAGCTCTGCCATTATTGCTGAGCCTCATGGTGGCCTTTCTGCTGGGTCCCCAGGTCTAGGTGGTTGTCTTGTCATTTCTCTCTTTGTCCACTACTCCCAGCTCAAAGGCAAGCATCAGGCCCTTTCACTTGCACTTCTGTAGATTATTGCAGTGAGAACTACAAGTGGCAGCACAGGAGTGTCTCTTTCTCAGTTCCTTGTTTCGCTTTTCCACAAAGTGAATGGCTGTTGGCCAAACTTGCTGTGATTGTTGCTTTCTGAAGCAGTTATGATAAAAAACAATCAGTTTCCCAGCTCTCTGAGTTTGTGTTGCTTCAAAAGCAATACAGCAGCAACAGCTTATTAGCAATGCTGTTTCCTGAGCATATTCAAGAGTTCTGGAGAGAAGACCCACACTTGAAGAACCAGATAAATAAATGGAAATCCAAATGGTGCAATAAAAAATGCTCTTTTGCAAGCAGTAGTTTGTTCAGAGCTGATAACACCACCTTTTTTCATTTTCAGGTGTGGCTTGATCTTTTGAAGCCTGTTATGAAACAGATTAGAAGTAAGTACTTCCTTGCTGTTGTTTATTGTGCCAGTCCACAGGTGGCTGAGTAAACGAGGAATCTGTTGATTGGTATCTTTATCTTCTCAACCTCCTTTACTGAGTTTTGTTTGGATTGTTGTTTCTTTTTATTTCTGTTCTGACCTCAGAAGATTTATGCTGTATTCTGTGAAGTCATGTCCCAGCAGCAAATTCTACTAAGCACACAGACATTGAACACCTGTGGTTTTACTCTTTATACTGAAGAGGCTGAACCAGCAGCAAATCGAGAAGGTTTAGTCAGGTCCAAGAAGCACTGAGGCAGTGGTAGCAGTGAAGGCTACTACTGCCTCACTGTTGTACCTTTTTGTTGAGAAAAAATCATGCAACAGAGGAAGGCTATGAAGGAACGTACATTCCTGAATGGTAGCTGTAATGAAAGATGAAATAAAAAGAACAGGATGAAGAAAAAAAAAAAGAGCTAGAAGAAATTGTTGATGGGAAGAAGCTAGCAAATCTGTTACTTTCAGGGATGTTGCTTCAGAACTTGAAAGCATCTTAGAGAAGAAAGTAGTCAGGGAAGTCAGGGAATGTTGTGGTGGAAGAGAGAATGGAACTGTACATAGCCATCAGCTTCGGTGAGAGTAGAAGTGAACAGGAAAGACTTTGGTGGCTTTGTTTCTCTGTCAGATATCAGTGGAAATCTTCATTTACTGAGCTTTACAACTGAGATTAATTTTTCCTAGATGTTCTTCTGATCATGTTAGTATGAGTTTGTTCTCTGGAAGCTCTCCCTCTCATGTGAGAGATATGTTGCTCCTTTTGTCACTGGTTGTATTTGTTAGAACAAATGTGCTGCTGTTAAAACAGAAATAATGATTTGCTGGTGGACTTGAAAAACCCTCCCTCCTGTTCTGAAGCAAGTGTAATAGATGCACATAATATATTTTATTGGAACAACTGATGTAATTACCCAAAACAGACTTTATTTTGGCAGAATATCCCTCCACCAAGTGACTGTTCTGTTTTATGGTGCATATGTTTTATTTTGTCATTTGTCAGTAACCTGAAGAGCATCAGAACTAATAGGAGAGGATGGAAGATTGGTTTATCTGTGTGCACTTGAGATCCTGCATACCCCCTGTGCATCATTTGTGACATAAAATTTGGCCAACGCATTACCAACAGATCACTAACTTCTTTTGCCCTTTCCCCTAGGACCGAAGCACATTGTTGTAAAATTTGTGGTAAAATTCTTCCCACCTGACCATGCTCAGCTGCAGGAGGAACTGACAAGGTTAGTAGTTGTCTGACTACTTTTTTTTTTAATCTGAAATCTCCAGTGAACAGAGTGGAGAATGTGGGATTGGAGATGACTGGGTGAGAATCGATGACTCCCTCTCAATGTTAACTTGAAGTTATTTCCCCCCACCATTGAGTGCCCCCGGGGCGCTTCTCTACACTGGGGAACATGTGTGACTGCACAAACATTTGGGACAAAGCTGCTCTGCAGGAATTGCCAAATTGCAGCAGCTGGGGGACTCTACTGCAGTAGCCAGTATTCCAGTGCAAATGCCAAAGGTCTGCACAGCTCCATCCATTTGCAGATGGAGAAATGGATAGGAGGAGGAATTAAACAAAGAGAAAGGTGCAGAAGGATAGAAGGGTGGACGTGTGTAGAAAGAGTACCTAAAGCGTGTGTTTGTTTTCAGTGCTCTTTAAAAACTTGATTTAAGCTCTAAATTTCACTCTGGCATAAAGACATGAATTGTATTTTTCTGTAGGTGGATGTGTATGTGAGGGGAAAAAACATACTGCTTCATGGCAGTACTTCACTGAAACTTTTCAACTCCTGGTCTAGAATTGCTATTCTTTGTAATTACATTTTTCTGTTCCGATTCTCTATTTTCATTATTCGTTTTTACTTTTAATCCTCCCATAAGATGATATTCTCTTTTACAAAGAGCTTTTGTATCTGCCTAAACGGCTTTATAAAGATCATGTTCACCTTTGTGGTGTTTTGTGTTTCTCTGTCTTGGTTTGATAGCAGAGCAATGGAATGTAAAAAAAAAAAAAAAAAAATGATTGATAACTGTTACCAACTTGAACAGAGAAAACTGGAAAAGTGAAACAGGAAGAAGGAATATTTACTTAAAAGACTGAGTGAAAATAATAAAGGACAGCTCACAGCATTATGTGGAACTGTCTCTGAGTAGATATTCTGCATAGCAGTTGCTTAGTATGTGGAGTGTAAATTGATTTTTGGTGATCTCTTTCTGTGCCTGGAGGCATATCTCTGAATCTTAATGACTTTTTTGTTAGATTTTAAACGTGTGTGCTGGGGATCTTGAATGTATGTACACAGCAGTGTGTAGGATGTGAAAGCATATCCACAGGGAATGGTTTTGTCACTAGGAGAAGCAGAGAATATAATACGTCTGTGCTTTTCGCTTCTAGTAGGGTGAATTTTGTATGGCAAGGCAGATGTCTGCAGGTTTCAAAAGGACATTATTTAGATCTGCTATATTATTTCATGTATTCTGTATTTTGGCATCCATACTCCTCTGCTCAGTTTGCATTTTTCATTTAATTCACCTATATCTCATTCAGAAACTCACTGTTCAAACGCGAGTTCTCACTGAATATATTAAAATCCAGTCTTAGTAAAAAGTGTTGAGATTCTTGCATGAGTTCCCCAGAGGATCTGTGGTCGCTGCAAGGCTTGTTAAGGTGCCTGTCCAATTTGGATTACATTCCAAGTGTAGGAGAAACGCCTGCTATGAGGTTATTTTTTTTTTTCTAGGTAAAAATTTGATGCTGAGTGAAACTAACCTATTGCCATTTCTGTTGAAGCAGAAATAAATTTAAATGTTGAAATAGTGCTGTGGACCTGTGATGTCGGTGCACATAATCTGTGAATGTAGAATTGCCCTCGATGACTGGTTTGTAAGTGAATGTGTTAAAAATGGCTCTTAACAGTGCAGGATTATGTGCTTGCAGAAGTATTGGAGCTAGATAAAGTCATTCAGTAAAGACCTTGCTCCATATTTCCAAGTGACTGCCAAGATGGAAACTTAAGTTCCCCTTCTGTTCTGGCATTTCTTCTTGGTTGCAAGTATGTCCATTATCTTGAGATGCAGTAACAGCTGTCACATTTGCTTTTACTGTCAAATTGCTTCCATATTTCATTGATCTGGTTAAGAGAGATAGAAATGGAGAAAGAAAAAGGGATATATTTTGATTCTGATAAACAACCAGCCAGTATGTAAGATGGTAAGGACTGTCATATAGTACTTGTTACGATTTACTTATTACTTCTAATATTCAGATCACTTCTGTAGATGCCAAAAAGTAAAAGGAATGTATTGCAAAAAAAAAATGGACCTGAAGTTTAAAACTTCTCCATCTTTCCCTCTTGCTTTGCATAACTCTTTCTTTGTCTTTGTTTTGCAGGTACCTATTTGCATTGCAAGTGAAGCAGGACCTGGCACAGGGAAGGCTAACGTGTAATGATACCAGCACTGCCCTTTTAATCTCACACATAGTACAGTGTAAGTTCCCTCCTTCTGGGAGGATTAGACATGCTTTGCTGGGTTACTTGTTACAGTCTAGTAGGAGATGGCTTGAGTCATGTTGACAATTTATTGTATTTCTGTATAATAGCATTAAAATGCAGAGAATTTACTCTTTTAAATAAAAATGAGCTCTTGGCCATTGGATTTGCATTTTTAAAGTACTCATTTGATGGTCTGTGTAGGATCCTTTTAAAAGCAAACTTTGCAGGCAAGCAGGTTGAATTCTCCTGAATTTTTGCTTCATTATTTGTATTTAGCATTGTCAGCAGAACATTCAAATTCCTGGAGATCTGAATGCTGTCTAGAGAATGTAGTAAATAAACATGCTTAGAATGCCAGACTAAGTCACGTTCCTAAGAGGAAACTGATAGGGAAGAGGAAAACCCAACAGATTTCAAGTTGTTTGTTTTTTTTTAAATTGCAGTGCATCTACAAGAAGACTGTTCAGTGGACTTATTTATTATATCACAGCTTCTTTTGACTTCAGAATCACTTGGAAAGCATTGTATGTTTTCCACTTCGAGACTTTGGATATTCTTGTTGAGAGTAAGAGTAGGAAAAAATACTTAATTCACATACATAATGGTCAGCCAGATCTTTGTTCTAAATGCTGTTGTGTGGAAATTGCAGTCAACAAAGGTGTTCAGAAGTTCTTCAGTGTTGAGTAGATAAATCTCATGATCCTTTCTCATAGTCTGAGTGTTAGGGTTGTTTCTTATCAAGTATTACTGGAAAGGCAGATATTGTGTGCTTTTCTATCTGCCATGGCCATCATTGCCCAATGTGACTGAGTAGCAGTAAAGTACAGCTGCCTTTGGAGAAATCTGGATTTTTCAAACCATTTCAAAACTGAGTGTTTTTGCAGCACAGGCTTGAAAAATAAATCCTTAGCTAGCAAGCTTTTTGTATATTTTAGTTTTGCCTATTAACAGCATTCAGTACACCAGTGGTGGTTCTTTCCTTCTTTAAGCTAGTTCTAATTTTCTGTCTTCACTGATAAAAATGTCTTGGTAACTTTGGGGAAATTGAGCATCAGTTGTTACACTATATTCTAGGAGAGTGGGTCTTCCCTACCAGATGTCTTTGTACCAAATAAAGATGTTGGGGAGAGAATACCTTAGTGCATATTTCTGTAGTAGAGGTGCTGCTTCATGATCATCTCCTCTTGAACTATTCTATTGCCTATGTATTATTTTCTTATGACTTCTACGTAGATCTTAGTTGACGCCTTGCTCATCTCTTATTGATTATTCTATTCAATTCTTCACCGAACCCTCTGCAGCTCTGGTGCCTGGGCTGCTCAATGCAACTACTAGCTTGTTTTCCTAGCATGAAAGGATAAAATCCCAGGATGTCCTTACACTTATACAAGGCTTCTTTTTCACTTCTGTGCACAGTCAAACTCAAGTTTTACTGAATGTTTTTCAAAATTCCTCCATCGTGCACTTGGCCATCCCCCCTGACACACAAGTACAGGAAGGCAAGAAGCTTTCTTTTAAAGGTGTACAAAAATGTCACATCACCACCACTGCTCTCATGCACTGAGATGCGTTATAATGTTGAATGAAATAGTCTTCCTTTTGAAATCTTTTTAGCTCTTTGTCCCCTTCACCTTTGAGCTTTATGTGCAGACTTGTGAATTGTAGTTTTAGGAAACAAGTAGTACTCTCCTTATGGATGGTAAAGTAAGATACTTTTATATTGGGGAAAAAAGAAGTGTTTTTTCCATCTTATAAAAGGAGAGAGGCAAGGGATTCATCCCGCAGAGGTAAGGTAGTATCCACAGAATCCAAACTGCTGCTTTGGGTAGAGAGATTTTATGCCTTACGGTGCCTCTTCACAGCTTCCAGCTGCAACTTGGGCTGTTCTGGATGTTTATGATTTTCACCCTCCCTCTTTTTTGTGTGTTTGCTAGAAACCTCAGCTAAAACTTTGTGACCGTCTCATTTATTCTTGCACCTTAGTCTCATGAACATTTTTTCTGTGAAAATTGAATCTGATAAGAAGCTATGACTGTATCTTACCCATGTGACTGTCTTTTGTTATTTATTTTCTCTCTGCCTTATTATTCAGTAGCTAAAGAAATATCCCATATTTGTCTGCTACAAAAATAAAACTTGACAGCTGATAAGAGTAATGGTATCAAAGTGGAAAGATGGAGAACATAGGAGTTTAGGTATTGTATATCTTATCGATGCTGTGCCTACCAGCGGTTTCCATGGGGGATATCTGATTCCAAGTGCCTTTATATTATGTATACAGGCTTATAGCAGTGTTATGGACTGTTGGTTTTTTGTTGTTTTTTTTTAATATGAAATCCAGTATGATAGCAACTAGGCTTATGTTAAATTAGCAGGTATGTTACAGAACAAAATTTATAAATGAAACATTCTATTTAAAAGCACCTCAGAAGCATTGTAGAAAGTGTTGGATGAGAGGACACTGATACAACAAATGATGCAATAAGGCAAATGTGTTAAGTAAGAAGGCGGTCTGATTAAACAAAAAGAGCTGAAATACAAAGCATTAGACGTATCAGAAGAACTAATGCAGGCAGAATACAGAGAGTGTGCAATGCACTTGCAAGCTAAGAGAAGGGAAGCCTCAATGAAAATCAATCTTTAGCTAAAACAGAACGTAAAGAAGACCTATATGCAAGGCTGATAATATTCAAGATGCAGCTCCTTTGTAGAGGGAGTGATAGAAGAGCTGGGGTGAGAAGAAAGCAAAGATGCTTGGTACAAGGTCGTAGAGAATGAAAGTAATTAGAAAGCCTGGAGGACAATTTTGATAATGAATTTGCAGTTGACAGAGAACACTATAAAAATCATGTAGCAATAGAGTAAGTCATATGTTCTCTGGGCTCTGGAGAAAGCCCTATGTAAGGTGGTTAAGTGCTTCTGTGTAAAAGGTCTACTACAAGGTATGAATAACATTTTAAAGAGTCTAGTTCATGCCTTTTGAGGTGCTGCAGACTTAGACAGGCTTATGGCCCCTTAACGAGAAAAAGCTTACTTTTTGTTTTAGTTAGGGTTAAAAATGCAACACAGATTAGAATCACTGGAATCAAGTGAAATGGGAGTGATGGACCTGCTTGAGATATGGGAATGAAAGAGACTTTTTTACAAAGGAGAATTCTCAAATAATTTGGGATGTGCTTGTAGCCACACATCTCAAGGAATGACTCAGAGTGGATGAAATGAGGAAGGGAAAGGAAATCAGACACTGTTCAGTGGCTCTTTTCCACCTCTGCAGCCTGGTTGGGTTGAAAGGTTACTTTTCTGTCATTTGTAGATACCTTGGTCCTCATCTTCTCTGTCAGCGTGAGTTTATCGATTCTCATGTTTGCAAGTATGTTTGCTATCAGGCAACCTTTTGCCAGAAATCACTTTGCAGTGTTACAGGCATCTCTTTCAACCTTTCTTTTATCAAAAACCATCTCATTTTGGTCAGAACGTGTTTAAGAGGTCACTTACATGGGCAGAACTGAAGTGAAAGTGAGGCAAGGATCTGAGTCTGCATTCTGCCTGCAGCCTGGATTTAATACAGGGAAGCTGCATTTTAATTTCACTCACATTAATAAGATAGCAGCCTTTTGTTGCAGCGTTGTTTGTAATGTTCTGGCAAGTCTGCAGGCAGAGGTTGCTACATCACTCTGTGAAAAACCCAATAGCAAGATTTTTAAGAAGCATTCCAAGAATAGCAGGCAAAAAGATACTAATCTGGCAGCCACACATAGATTGCCTGACCCTCTCTCCCCCTAGACGGAAAGGAAATCTCTCTGAATGGGCTGCAAAATGGAAGGCGGGTGTGGCATACTGTTGCACACACATTGCTGAGTAACTGCAGCAGATGGGAGCAACTTTGAGGAGGAGGGAGACAGAATGTGTCTCAAACTGCTGCAAAATTGTGGAAGAGGAGTGTTTCATAACCTGCTGATTACGTGTCTGTGTTCAAACACACAAACGAAACCATCTCACTTCAGATTTCCCCTGAGATTAGAGTGTAGGGCATGGGCCTGGGGAGGAAGCTTGGTTTGCCTGCTCTGGGGAAAGGTACCTGAGTGCTACCGTGCATAAGAGTGATGGATGTGATCTGCTGAATTAACGCTGTTCTCCCAGTTACCCTCGTTTTATTCTGCACATAAATCAAAGCAGCACTGTGATGATTTCATTTGTTCAATTAACATCTGACATCTACGTACATGATTGTGGGTGGGAGGAACCCTTGGGTTGCAGGTACTCATACAGATGAGAAGGGAGGAATGTATGAAAGATAAAATAGCGTGAGTCTGAGTCATGGCTTCGTGTGATTGCTTCTCTACCCTCTTCCCAGCTATCTGTACCTTTTGGATTGCCTGAATAACTCAGATTTAATTTAGTGTTGTAATAGACTTTTCTTGAAATTCTCCATAGCTGAGATTGGGGATTTTGATGAAACCATAGACCGTGAACACTTAGCGAAGAACAAGTATATACCTCAGCAGGAAGCACTAGAAGACAAAATCATGGAATTTCACCGTAATCACATGTAAGACTTTTTTTTTCTTTTTCCTTTTTAGTCTTCTTTTAATTTAGTGTAGTTTTGTTAATACTTGCTATGTTGTATATGCAAAAGAGATTTGGGTCTCTGAGTTTCTCAAAGTTTACTTGTCAAAAAACATCTAAGCCTTTGAATTTACAGTTGCCTTTCTCCCATCATCATAATAAAATGCTTAAAGAACAATTGATTTTGATATTCATTCAAGCATGTCCTTATTTTACAGTCTATTTCATCCAAAATGCTTCACTGCTGATTCCGTGCATGCAGATATGATTGCAAATGATAGCTGATCAGTCAGGCACTTGTGACAATGCACTTTTTGATCTCAAGGACATTCAGTGTTGCTTTTTCACGTCTCTATGCTGTATTTAGAGATGGTTAAAGAAGAGATTTAATGATAGTTTTGGGAAAAGCAAAGAGTGCTTGCAGAACTAGGGACTTGAGGGGATCAGCACTCAAGGTGATAGTGCACATTAGTGACTTGGTCTCCTAAAGTCTTGAGGAAAAAAGGTACAATTGTGAAAAAATTTTGGAATAAGACATAAAAGGGTTTTTTTTTTGCTATGAAAACACCTCAAGACTTGAACAGTTTCATTTTAAACTAACTTGAATTGGAGATGAGTGTAGGGAGCTCTACTCTGCTGATAATTGGAATTTTTGCTTAATTCAGTTGCAAGAAGTTTAGTGCTTGTGGGTTTCCAATGTTTATGTTAAAGTATCTCCTGTTTCACTTCATTTCTGTTTTGCATCCACTTTTACAATGACACCATTACAGACTCCCATTTATTTATTTTCATTTTGTAGGAATATAATATGTTTTTTCAATGGAAAACAATTAGAATTACTTCTGTTAAAGCTAACGGCTCAAAATCCAAGTTTCAGGTGTCTCAGTACTGGAGTGGTCAAAATTTCTAGCAGATTGTAAAAACTGAATACTTTGATATTGGTCTATACTATAATGCAATGTTTTTTTAATCTGATTAAAAAAAAATTCTGTGGAGATAGAAAAAACAATCAGATGTAATAGCTCTGATAGCTTTTAGTCTCTGGTAAAATGTCTATTTATGCACTAGAGGACCCGTTGTTTTCTATTAATCGGTGTGAATAGTTTGTGTGTCTTCTCTTTTGTTTCTCAAGGGGACAGACGCCAGCAGAGTCTGATTTCCAACTTTTGGAAATTGCCCGTCGGCTGGAGATGTATGGAATCCGCTTGCATCCAGCCAAGGACAGGGAAGGGACAAAAATCAACCTGGCTGTTGCCAACACAGGCATTCTGGTGTTTCAGGTTAGAGCCGCTCAGCATATGACTTTGCTCTTTTTAAAGCAGAGAAATCTCTTAGCGCAATAAGAATCCAAGGCCTTAACCATATCAGGAAGAATTTGTTTAAGAAAATTGAGGAATTTCCAAAGCTTTTCTAACAATAGCCTCAAACCTTATATAGCTCCACTACGTCCTTTACTTCCAGGGACTCATACCTTGTTTGCGCACACAGGCTAGAACTCAATCTTGAACTACAATGCGCTATTCAAAGTGCAAACTGATCTGCAGCTCACAATTTGCAAGTTGGTCACGCTGACACCTTCTGCATAAAGGAGCAAGCAGGTCTTGTAGGCATGGTGCATAATAATGGTTGTGAAACAGGGACGAATAAGAGACACCAGGAGTACAAGGTGAAGAATACAGGAAGTGAGTGCAAGCTCTCTGTAGTGTTGCGGTATCCTTGACCAGCTTTGGGCTGTTTTACCTTTGCTGAGTTAGAAAGCATTTTCCTTAGATTTCGTTGCTCTACTGCCTCAGTCAGCCTTGTTCATGAAGCATTATTAGCAAATTTATTGTGCAGTTCTCCTTAGAGAAATAACAAATTGGAATTTTATAGATGTGAAAGTACAGATAGTCAGCTTGCATAAGCTGGTTTCACTTCAGTTGAGTTTATATCTACTAGCATCCCAAGTGCCTCTTTCTGCACAATGTCAAAAGCAGTAAGTAAACTATTCTTTAAAATGTCCATTTACAAGTATTTACCACCATTCATTTGACTTCAGTTAAAATAGTACAGCGTTTCCAACCTTGAAGAGTACTTTGTCTTTTTTAATAAAAGAAAACAACAAAAACCAGCAGCAAAAAATGAACTCAGAAATGTCTAATCGCAGAATTACAGAATTGTGGGGGTTGGAAGGGAGTTCTAGAGATCATCAAGTCCAACCCCCCTGCCAAAGCAGGTTCCCTACAGCAGGTCGCACAAGTAGGTGTCCAGGCAGGTGTTGAACATCTCCAGAGAAGGAGACTCCACCACCTCCCTGGGCAGCCTGTTCCAGTGCTCCGTCACCTCACTGTAAAGAAGTTCTTGCACACATTTGTGTGGAACTTCCTAAGCTCTAAATTAAAAAAATAAAAAATAAAAACTCATAGCAGTTAAATGGATTGACAGTACAGCTACAAAACTGAAGCATAGATTGAAGCACGAGAACATGAAGTTATTGTGAAAATGTACACAACAGTATCACAGTTGTATTTACAGACCCTTCCCTGCTCCCCTACAGCACTTTCATCAGTTGAATTAAGGAATTGCAAACCTTTATAAATTAAGATTGTCTTACAATTGAAGGAACATATCCAAAATAGTATGGGCATCACTGAATCCCAGCAGACTGCTGGGGTCTTTCCGTATCGATGCAGCTGCCAGCTGAAGGCCCAAAGTCTGATTTGTACAGCTCTAAAAGTCTGTTATCTCCCCTTGTTGTAGAGTCTTTCAAAGAGAAGTGGGTTGTTTTTGCCCACTTGGAATTTTTGCTGGAGCCAGCTCCAAGACTGAGAGCTGAGAGAGAAACTGAGGTCAGGCTCTGACCTGCTGGAGTCTGCCCAGCAATTGGAGCCTTCCGTTCATCTATTTATTATGGGTATAGCTGAGAGAAATTGAAAATGTAAAGACCACATTAGAATGACATCGATGTAAAAATCAAAATAAAGGTTCACTGACAAATGGCTTAAACAGTACCCACTCAGACTTACTTTGAAGTCTGCCTTTTATTAAGAAATCAGTGTCAGTGCTTCTGAGTGTTCTGAAGGAGGTTAATTATGTGATTCTTAGACAGCAGACTGACTTAGCAGAGATCATCACGCTGTCACTACTCCTACGTCCGTCTGGTGACGGAGCCCAAACCAATGTGAGTTTCTGCATTCAACCATCTTCGAGTTGCTGTTCTTTGAAACCTTTGTGCTGCACTGTAGGCATGTGTGTCTTGAAATCTTTACTGAGTAAGCTGGTGTAATGAATGTTCTACAACAGTGTCTCCACTTCTAAAGTGGACACCTCATCTACAAAGAGGCTGAGAGTGCTGAGGTTGTTCAGCCTGGGGTAAAGAAGGTTCTGGGGAGACTATATTTCAGTAAAGGGGACCTACAGGAGAGCTCAAGAGGGGCTCTTTATCATAGGGCAAGGGATAACTTTTGAAGTAAAAGAGTCGATTCAGATTAGAGGTTAGGAGGATGCTCTTTACTCAGAGGGCAAATAAGGTGCTGGCACAGGCTGCCCAGAGAAGCTATGGATTCCCCATCCCTAGATGTGGTTGAGTCCAGGCTGCTTGTGGCCCTGGGCAACAGATCTACTGCAATTTGTCACTGTCCACAGCAAGGGAATTGGAACTGGATGATTTATATAACTCCTTCCACAGTGATACTGGGGCAAAGGGCTAATGATACTCTCATTGAGAATAATGGTATTTCAGAAGGATTTCTCTTAGGCTTACTGTTTGTTTTTGCTGCATATATATTTTTTTAATATTTTCTTACATTTCCGAAACAGGTAAACTACTCAGATTCCTTTACTTAAGTTGCTCCCTATGAAGAGACAAAATAGGCTGCTCTGCTTTGTACAGTGATAGTGGATTTCATAGTTTCACATCTAGTCAGTATGCCTAGTCCTACAAAAGTTCAAGAGCTATAAGTGCCTGCCTTCAGTCTACTACTACTGGGTGCTTATGGTTAAGAATGTATGTTGACATTTGCAGCACTGGGGGGTGAATGAGAAAAAACACTATAATCGCAAATGAAGAGAATAGATGATTAATATTTGCCAGAATTGTAGTGGCTTGAATTTCTCCATTCAGAGCTGTAATGCATAAATTCTGCTGCTCTGTCCTTTGTAGGGCCACACCAAGATCAATGCCTTCAATTGGGCTAAGGTTCGAAAGCTGAGCTTCAAGAGGAAACGTTTTCTTATCAAACTACGGCCTGATGTGAATGTAAGTCTGTGTCAGAGATTGGTGAAGCTGACAAAATGTTATTTGGTAAATTTCTACTCCCAGATTAAACATATGTTTTTGTCACCTCTTGAGAGTTTTTTAATTACTTTTGTTCAAAACATCAAACCAGCATCTCGGGTGAGCAGCCCAACTAAAGGAAATGTAAACTGAATGTCACAGAGTCTTCTTCTGACTGTGCTTCTGGAACTATATCATTGGTTCTTAACTATGTAAACCACCTCTTCACATGTTATGCTTGTGAGACCCCTTCTTTATCTCTGTCATACTTGTCAATGAAAGAAAGCTTAAGCAACAGCTGTGATATTGCTAGGCAGGTCATTGATGTCTAAAAGGCAGAGTAGGGTCTATTCATACTGAAAGCCAATGAGTTGGGAAAAATCTCTTTTTTTTTTTTTTTTTTTTTTTTTTTGTAGCATAGGGCTTGCTTTGTCAGGGTGTCTCTGTAATGTGTGTTGCTTGCTTGCTCACATTGTGAATGTTCTCTCAACTTTCAGAGTTCATTCCAGGACACTCTGGAATTCCTTATGGCCAGTCGAGATTTTTGCAAATCGTTCTGGAAGATCTGTGTGGAGCATCATGCCTTTTTCAGGCTGTTTGAGGAACCTAAACCAAAGCCCAAACCTGTTCTTTTTTCTAGAGGTTCATCATTTAGGTTCAGGTGAGACCTGCTTTCTTCTTTCCACCTTTGTTAACTTCATATTTCAAAATCACATGCGTATCCTTAATGATGTAGGATTAAACCCACCGTTTTCAGCTTCCCGTCTGTAGTTTGCTCCTATATATTTTTAATTGTATCTTCTCAGCCAGAATAGTGCAGAGAACACTGGGGAAAAAGCCTGCGTTGATTTTTGTAGTAGCTGTTGCAAAATAACTGTCTAGAGGTAAGGTATCAGGTGTATTGGTTCCAGCTGATTTCACTCGAGAAAATGTGTCCCAAGTTACACCAGCTAACAATTCTCCAGCAATCCTTGGACTCTCTGTCTCTAAGAAAAGATCTTTTATAGATACCAGAGTAGAGACTTACATTTTCATGGTGTGGCCCTGAGGTAAATTCATCCCTACACAGTTTAAGAGATGTCTTTTCTCTATGCTTAGCCGACATGCTTGTAAACGGTTTATACGAGATGATAACTTATGCTAAGACCAGGTCTACCTGCAGTATTGATAAGAGATGTAGGAAGAATTGAAGAGTTAGATGGTTGGATTTTTCAGTTCTTGATGTTTTGTTGTTGTTTTCTGTTTGTAGATACAGTATTGTGCATGTCAGGGGCAAATACCCTTTCATTTTGTTCGGGAAGTTGATACAAATTGAACAACCAGAAACACCTTCTTTGTTGAGATAATGTTGTTGGTACGCTGTACCTGCCTTGAGCGTGTACCCAGTAGGTACGGCCATTCTGTCTTCCCACTTTGTTTCCTACTGGCAAAATAAATTAATTAAGATAGAAAGAACTAGGGTAAACAAGCTATTAATTTTTGAGTTTCTGACAGAGTAAATAGTAAAACGTAAATGCATTCAGCTTATCTCTTGCTTTGGAGAACAGATTTTGCCTACATCTTGCATTCACTGTGAGCTGTGCTGCATATGCATATGCATGTGGTTACTTTTTTCAGGCCTTTCAGTAAATCGGTTGAAATGAATGGAAAGGTGCTGTTTTTTTTTCTGTTAGCAAACAATCTGGAGGTTTCCTTTGCTGTTCCCAGTTCCCTGTGGAGTTTTTATCTTTGCACAGTAGGAGATATTGGGCTTTCTCACTACAATTTTATGGTGTGTAGCATAAGGAAAGTGTTCAAGTTCCAGCCTAAATCTTTGCAGAGACTGTGTGCATGTTTAGCTGACGTAACTGAGTTATGTTACAGCTGAAATGCATTTTAGCAGCTTTCTTTTTGGTTCCAGCATACGAGGTAAGGCTGGGATTTGAATCCTGGAAAGCTTCAGGGATGTCTTTTGTTCATGTAAAACTTAACCTCTACTTTGCTTTATGCTGGGTGATTTCCCAGTCATATTGCACAAGGGTGAGTCAAGGGCACATAGCTGAATTTAATTAGTTCTGACATAACATCATAAGGTATCTCCGTAATAAAAAAAAAAACAACACATGGTAATATGCCAAAAGGTAGAAGCTTGTGAGTATATGGTCATAAAGAAAGAGACCTTCTTTATGATTTTACGTGAGTTTCTACTGATACTGACAAATATTTTTCTGGTTGCCATGACTTCATTTGCAGGCCACATACGTATTTATGATGACCAGGTCATAGGAAGTATTTACTGTGAGAAATTCAGAACCTCAGATTAGTAGTGTAACCATTTTTTTTCTTTCAGTGGCCGGACTCAGAAGCAAGTTCTTGACTATGTTAAAGAAGGAGGGCACAAAAAAGTACAGTTTGAAAGGTGAGAGGAAAATAAAAGAACTTTTTTTTTAAAAAAAAAAATTAAAGCAGCAGCCTCTGTTTATTTATAAGAGATTAGCATCATTCAAAGTAAAAAAATTCCTTCTCTGTTGGTTTCACAGTTTATCACTTGTATGATATCCTGTTGGTCCTGAATGTTTGGCAGAAGTTTGCATAACCAATCTATAGTTTATTTAAAATCTATAGTCTTCAATTTGTTTTTCAGCAGTGAATGCCCTACTGTTACAGGTAAACTGTTCTCATATTGATTTGCACCCTCTTCAGTAGGATGTGATTAATATATGTGAGCAGAAAGAGATTTAAATGGGTTTTAAATGAACATATTCATCTGAGAATAAAAGAGAAGGTAGCAAAAGTAGGTACAAACATCCTCAAGGGAGAGATCTCCAGGGAAGACATCTTAACTTTGCTAGAGTGCATTTTATTGGAACTGATCTTATTTCTTGTGAGCTGAAATTCATGGACAAACTGCCACAAAGATTATGACAATTTATTGCTAATGACTCATTTTCTGCTGATGGACTGTTTTTTGTTCAGTGCCTCTCTCTTTTCTTATGGTAATATGTTTCCAACATGTAGCACATTTAAGCATTACAGAAAGGAGGATCTGTTTTGGAGCAAGCCTTTTGTGAATGGTGCTATTCAAAGTTTTTGTTTTCAAGTAGGCGTGTCTCTTGATTCCTTTTCGTGGTAAAACTGAAATGGCCTCTTACTGTGATTTTGCTTTTATCTCCAGGAAACACAGCAAGATTCGTTCCATCAGGAGTCTGACAGTACAGCCTTCAGAACAGCATACAGAGGTGCCAAAACAAGTCAGTGATGTTGATGAAAGCCTGCATCATGCCTTTTAAACATTTCTTATTACATTACCCACTTCCAATTGATCTTTGGAAACTTCAGGAACATAGGTTTCTGCTCACTTTGTATTTAAGCGTGAGCTCAGGATCTCTGGATGTTATAAAGTTCAGCTTTTTTGATGTGGAATGTGTTCATTTCCACTATGGAACAGAATTGTCTCTAGACAGCAGCACAAGCATAAATAGTGAGCTTGTCTGAACTGTGCTAATGGCCACCTGAAAAACTGCAATCCGCAGTGTTACTGCCGGGGTTCCAAGTTTTGCAGGTGATTGCACTTGGGAAAATGCAATTATTTTCCTTCACTGAGGAGCGTTGGCTGCCCAGGACAAGATATTCCATTATATTAACATTATATTAATTTCCTCAGAGAAATTTCAGCTGTGTTCTTTTAAGTTATTATGTCTTGTAGATACCAAAAGTATTTGTCTTACATTAATAGTGATTATATGTTCGGAGTTTGCAAATCTGGTAGTCTAGTCGAGGTGAAGCTGCAGCAGCTGTGTGTTTCCAGGTCCAGCCAGTGGCTGAGCATGTATTTGTAATTGGCAGCCACACAACCACGCAGACTCATTCACACACATATGTATACACGTGCAAATGTACACACAGCCAGCCATACAGATGAAAACAAACAGAAAGCAATACTCACGTGAACACAAATAGCACATGTTCCATTCAGACTGATCAGAATGAAAGTCTGTTAGTGAAAAAATATTTATACATGTATACAGTATGGAATCCCTTCAGTTACTGCTCTTAAAGATGAAATCTATCCGTTAATGGATCCTTAAATTTCTTCTGTTCATGTTACTTGGACATATAAGCTCCAAGGCTAACAGCCCTTCTCCAATTGCCACTACTCAGATCAGTACATGTGTAAACGCACACACAGTCTTTCTCAGTAACTCATCTTAGACATGCAGTCTGCCCCATAGCTGAAGCCTGGTTCCCAGCTACCTCACAAAGAAATGAACATGCAAATGTGCTTGTCCAGTAGCTAGCTGCTCCCAGACTTACGACATTACGAGCACACAGTCCTTAGGCCCTCTTATCTCTCCAGTACCTGGATTGCACCTCTCCAGTAGCCATGTCCTCTCTATTTTTCCAGTGCTTGGCCCAGATTTATGGCTGCTCCCATATTTGGTTCCCAGCTCACTTACCCTACTCAAAGACTAATCCAGTTTGATGATTTCTGGTATTTACGCATTGACCTACTCATGCAACCAATGTGCCCATACTCTACTCTTTGGCATCCCAGAGAGACCCAGCCACATGCTGATGATTCTCCCAGGACAGTCTCCAGAGGAGCTCTGTTTCTCTGAGAAGGTTGTTGGGGTTATTATCCCCTCCTTACGCTTTCTTTGTTCTCGTCTGTGTTTTATCAGATAACCTCATATGTGGTAGAGCTTAAACAGCAGGTGCTAACTACTAGGTTAATATATTCAAGAATGTTACCCAAACTTTCACATTGCTTCCTTTTGATATTCACAAGCTCTTTCATTCCTGCAAATCTGGGGAATTTGGATAATTCTGCTATACATGCAGCCTATTTCAAGTGTCTTTTAGCATTTTAATATTGCAAAGACAAGCTCAGGTAAATGGTACATAGCTACTGCTGGCATGTTTGTTTGCAGAAAAGCCAGTCCCCAAACTAGAGGAGATAGGCTCCAGGGGTTGAACGCATTGTCTTCAAAAACCCGTGTATGACCTTTTGGGCTTTTTTAGAGATTAGAAGTAGGCCATGCAGAATTTGTCTTTACATGCTTATCTTTTTATCCCTCCAGCTTCAGAGTAGTATAAACAGTTTGATGTTCTCAGTGTTGATGGCTATCTTAGAACATGGAAATACCTGGATTGCTCCTTTTTACATATTACCATGTTCTGTCTTCCTTTTCTTTCTTTGTTTAGCTTACGTGTTTTCCCCCATCATCTGTTCTTCAGAATCAGAGAACTCTTTTTTCTTTTTTTTTTTTCCTTCTAATTCATTTTGAAGCTTCGGTTACCTCCTCTACTTTCAAGAGATCCTATGTTACTGAAGGATGTATTGTAGAATTGTAGTGCATAATTACACCTAGCCTTTTCCCCCTGACTCCCTTCCCCCTCAACCCTCTCTCCCCCTTTGCCTACCCCTTTCTTTTCCTCCTTTGTCTTTCCAGAGCTCCAGCTTTGCCTATGGAGATGACAATGATGCTGCAGCAGTGCAGAGCTGCCAGCAAGGAAAGGAATTGAAAGCGTCAGTGGAAGACACTGGACAGCACAAGAGCCCTTCATTAAAGAAGAGCCCAAAAGAAGGCAGAAAGGTGGATGGAGCAGTGGTGTCAGCAGTGGAGGAGGAAGAGGAGGCTGCTACAGACAGGATGCAGCAGAACAGACCTCAGTCACAGCAACCAAGCACAGGTCCAGCATCCAGGGCTGCTCATGGCAGCAGCACCTCCATTCCTTTCATTGACTGCAGTGATGTAGATAGCGAGTATGATCTCCTCAGAGAACAAATAACCCGGTCATATTCCCAAACAAATGACAATCATGAGGGTGATTTGACCAGTGGTGCCTATATTCACTATAGAGATGAAAATCTTAATAGAAGTAGATACAGGGATTCCTCCGCTTCTATAAAATCTTCCCAGTATCTCTCTGAAGAGTACCTTGATGATAACCCAGCTAATCTCTCCTTCTACACTGTGGGAAGCCCCAGGGTGCCAAGGCACAGCTCACTGGTTGATGAAATGTTTAGAGGGCCAGGGAGCCGTAGTCCACTGGCCACTCCTTTGCCTCCCAGTAGCAAAGGATCAAGCCCCAGCATGAGCCTGAGTAGAACTGGCTCTCAGGGTTATATCTCAGAAAACGGGCATGACAGCAGGACTAGGACTGCAGAGGAAGACAGCTATGCCAGCAGCTGCCATGGCTATGGCAGATATTCTCCAGGTTCTCAGCGGCCTCATGCACGAAAAATCCTAAATCTCTGCAATAAATCAGCTACAGACCCTTTTATCTTGAGCCAGATATCTTCAACCCCAGGGCAGGAGTATAGATCTGAGAGACATTGCAAAGGGGGTGGGATGGCCAAGATGTCTTCTCCAGAAGGCAAGATGATGGCCAATGGTATGCCAGCTGGGGGGCAATCAAAGCAGAGCCCAGTCATACAGTCACTGCATGCCAGTGGCATGATGGATCATATGGCTGCAATCCAGGTGATGGAAGGCTCCACCAGCAGTGGGACAGAATCTAGTGATTCTGACTCAGAAATCATTAACCCCTTCACTCACCCTCTGGTGTTTGGAAATCCTGTTGTGCTGAGTTCCTCTCCTATGCCAAGAAATAAGTACTCCTTTGGAAGCCTTCAGCTTGATGAGGAGGTAGAAGAGGATGTGTCTGTGGGCCTTAGTGATGAAGATGGTGTGCAGGTCTTCAGCTGCTAGGAAGCAGGGCGTTTGAGACCCGTGGATGCAGCAATTGCTCATTAGAGTGATGGCATCTTCTGGGGCTTGTGAGGAGTGGCTGGTATTAAACTCAGAGCTTGGGCTATTTTACATATTGTCCTTGTACTGACCAGCCAGATGAAGGAGATGCTGAAAATACAATAAGAAGGCTAAGTTTCAATTCATCTTAACAGTAATTTATCTGCTCTGAAGGGCAAGAGGGGAGGAAAATTATTACTGATTTAGGTACCTTTGTAAAACTCTATACGTTCATCTGTCGTTTGTACGAAGTCATGTTTTAGGTATATGTTGTAGCTTCTTTGACACTTGACTACTTATTTTTGCAAAATGAACAGAAATGTTGTCACATAGGTACGTTGTACTCTTTTGGATATCTAATACAATTATTTTTCTCTCTTGTTTAAGGAGAGCTACTTAAGAGTGCCTCAATAGAGTTAGGGGAAAAAAAATAAACTTACAGCCAAATACAGGCAGCTTGATACTCAAGACCAAGGCTTGCTGAAATCTTGAAAAATGCTGGCAAATCTTTTCATAGTAAGAATGTGTTTAGTCTGCTCATCTTCATAACCCATTTTATAATCTTAACTGATGAGCTGAGGAACAATGACTTCTATTGGCTTCTTATTTAGTGAATTCAACAGGTTGATTTGTTGATGGAGATTCTGAAACTCCAAACTCTTCTTTAAGCAGGATGGAGAGCAAGATGAAAGATAAAACTCAGGTGAATGAAAAAAACATAGATTGAATTGGCTCTAATTACAAGTGGTGTGAGTATTATTTGCAAGGCAATCCTTTCTATTCATTATCAGTGTGGTAGAAAGATTAATTGCAAGAGAGTAGGTTTGTATTTTTCCCCTTATTCTTTCAGTGGTATTATTCAGAGACATCAAAGTTCTGTTGTGGGTGATTTTTGGTGGGAGGTTCAAAGATGGTGGCTGTTGGGGGTTTTTTATTATTTCTTTTTTTTCTCTTTGATCATGAAAAATCTTCATCTGTACAGGACCCAATTAGTCTGTCATAGGCTATTCTTTTTAGTTTTGCCACCTCATAAATTTTTCATTCCCTGACACAGAGAATGGTGGGACTAACTGTGATTCAGGCTGATTGTTTTCAGTAGTGTGTATAGAGTAGCAAGATTCTGACACACATGCAGAAAGGCAGACTAATTACTTGTAAACTTCTTTTCACAAGCTATAAGTAATGAGAATTAGGCTGTATCCTAATAAAATGTGTTTCTAGTTTCTCCAAGATGACAAAGAAAATCAGAAGAAAGGTCTCCAATATGGAAAGTATCAAGCAGTTATTAGAGCTGGGAGACAAGATGTGCTCTTTAACACTAGCCTTACTTTTAACTTTCACTGATTTTTTTATATTTTCTTTTTGGGGTATGGGAGGAAAGGGAATTAAAGTTGAGAATGTTAAGTGATGAACAGCACTTACTGTACTGGAGGTCACTTGCTGTGATCTGCTTCATGCAGTACATGTGTACATGGATGGTGGATCCACCCACTGATGAACAAGCTACAGGACTTGAAGTGTAGACAATTTTTGAGATCATTTTTACAAATGTAATAAAATTTGAAGTCTTTTTAATTTTTCTAATGCCTTGGTCTATGCACATTTTAAGAGTTTAATCTGAGTGAGTGATATTTAAAAGGATGCATCAGTTTGCTTAGATATGCTTTACATTGTTGCAGTAAAATATGTCTGTGTAAATATGAGTTTTAATCTGCTCATCTGCTTTAAAGTGCTTGTTTTTAAAGATTAGATAATTCATTTTTTAAACTGGAATGATTTTAAAGCATCTCTTCAGACCGTGATGTTTTGGCCACGGTCCTTTCTTCCTGTAGTTAAAGGCATGACTCTAGAAGCAGGGAGATTGCCTATTAGGGGAAAGCTTGCTTGTATATTATTCTGAAAGAAGGTGATTTGTGTTGTGGATTTAGAATAGTGCTAAATAATTGCCTTGAACTTTGCAATATTTAAGAAGAGATGTAGATAGTTGAAGCTTATGTTAACAGATGGTATGAGCATGGGGAGTACATGCATGAGTCTCCTGTTGTTTTTTTGGGTTTTTTTTGTGCCTGTACAGCAGAAGAACCAGGAATTGTATTATACTACATATGTAGAGTAATAGCAGTCTGGACATATCCATTAATTGCTTTGTTAGCTAGTAAAAGTAAAGCTCAAGTAATGGGTTTCCACTGAAAGGATTTGCAATCTTGTTTCTGTCACTTCACTGAAAAGTGAATAGATTTCATAATGTTTGGATTTGAGTGAATATCAAATTTTCTAAGTGATGTTTACTATTTTGCATCCTTTCAAATACTGTTTTCTGGCCTATTTTTCTTCTCTAACATGTCTACAGAGGTAATGGATATATACAAGAGCAGACCTGCTACTAGCTGGAGTTAGCTTAGTTGCTGATAAAGTATCTCAACAGCTTTTTATTTTTTTCTTTTGAGTACTATTATCAAAAGATAAAATATAAGGATTTTTTAACAACTTTTTTCTCTCATCTTTTCAGTTTTCAGGCATTTTTTCAGTTTTAGATGTTTGCGGTTCGTTTTGACATGTGGAATTTTTCCATTTTGAAGGAATAAAGTTTGTAAATGACATAGGAAATCGTTTAGTTTAGGATTAAGCATTTTGCAGCATTCTTATATTGCTGAAGCTCAGTTTAATATTGGTAGACAAGCATTTAATTGAAAACAATCTGTGGGCCAAATACTTCCACCAGAGATGTGGTTGACCTCTTGGTGCTTGCCAAGAATGGTAAGCAAAAGAGCAATTTTACACTACAATTTCCATATAGGATCAGGTCCTTCAGAATGCATCTGGGAGTTTGTTTCTGTGGAACAAATACAGAGACCTTAGAGGTGAGAACAGAAACCTTTGGGGCAAGACTGGCGATGACATGGGGAAATTCTTGTGCTAGGTCACAAAATACAAATCAGAAGAGGAGCCTGTCAGTTCAAGTTAATCCTTGCAGGGATTGATTAATCTGCATACCCTAATCAATGGCACTGGTCTAAGTGCACCTGTGTCTCAACTGTTTGGAAGGTATTTGTTGGCCAAGCAAAAGATGTAATTCTCTCACCAATTACAGTAGATTTCAGCATGCAGCTGACTGGCACTGTTGATTCACATTTCCATATTTTTTGTTCGCAACAGTTAACTTCGTAATTCAGTACTCTGAGAGTGTCCAGATATCCTCAAACAGTTGCTGCAAATGAATCACAGCAAGATCTAGCAACTACTTCTTGTCTGAATGAGTTGTGCTGTACCATCCTTCTCCTGTTCTTCCAAAGAGCATGGAAGAAGCCTGTGGTTGGGCTGTCCAGACTGCTGAGCCAACTCTGTCCACAAGTTTGGATGAACATGGATGAACATAGTTGCAAAAGCAGCGTAGAGGTTTCTCACAAAATAACGTGCAGATGTGGATAGAAATTAATATATGCAACCCTGTTCTTTCTTTGCTATTCTAAGTACTTGACCACATTTAGCAATTTGCTACAGTGAATGAGAAAAGTCATGTCAGACAACTTTAAGTTTTCTCCATCCCACCAGCAGCTCAAATGTACTGTGTCCTCTTGGGTTCTTCTGGAGTTTCTTCTCCTGTCAGCCTTTCCTGGAATCTGGTTTACCTCCGTGACCTGGGATATAAAATTTGGAAATAAATTTCTAGATTTAGGAAAATTTAGTAGTGGCAAATTGATGGAGGAGACAGGATTTACGCAGGGTAGAGCTTTGAATAATTGTTATCTGTGTAGAACACTTTGCATTGTTTTGGGGTTAAGTCTGCATGCCCCAGCAAGAATATTCCTTGTGCATGGAGAGAAGGCTGTATTCTCTGAAGATGATCAATGCCTGCTGCTGCCACTGTCTCACATCACTCATAGCCTAACGTACAGCCCTTTAGCCATTGTAGTGCATGCTAAATATCAATTATACCAA